TCCCTACTCCGTGGATTGAGAAATGAACCGGGGGAAAAAAATTGCACGTCAAAGAAGGCGGAGTTCCAGAACACACCCACCGACTGCGTAATCGCCACAGACCAATGGTAGCTCAAAGGTGTTTAGGAGGCAAAACGAACTCCCCCAAAAAGTTCGCTTTGGTGAGCTGTTTTGAATTGCGAATTTTTGAATCACGTGACCATTTATGCAGGTAACAACCATAGATATGTATAGGTAGATTTCCTGTTATTTAGATGACAGACGTATCTACTTGTTTGGAGCGATCGAATGGGGTATCTACCTATACATATCTATGGGTACAACAATGAGCATGATGTTATTGTTTACACGGCAAGGATACGCAGAGCGAATGTGGGCAGCCACGCCATCGTTTTCGAAAGTCTCCGTTTTGGTCAGTTTACACTGAAACGCAACCCCGGAGTTTTCAAACTAAGCCAACATGATATAAAAATTATTTGTTAAAGTAATAATAAAGAAAAGGTATTTATATACATTTATATACATAATGATTAAAAAAAGATTTTTCTTTATCTTGAACATTATTTTATTTTACCTAGAAAATAGCATACTGGTTTGGGATGTCATTAAGGTATGAATGGGAATAAATGACAGCCTTTCATTTCTGTGTGTGCTAAAGTCTTCCTCAAACACTTTTTTTGTTGTACCATGAGAAGGAGATTGGAGACATGGGGCACCTGCCTGCAAATCTGAAGCTTGAAAAGAAACCAGTCCCTGCCGACAACGAGAGTGACAGTGATGACTCTGAAGTGATGAGCAGCACTTCCAGCTTTCTCCGGAGTAAAAAGAGAGGTCTAAATAACTTCAAAAACAGCTTTTTCTCTGGTTGCACCCCCATCCGTGAAGAGCATTAGCATTAAAGTAGTAAAATGTGCTAACTTGTCTTGTTGTTGCTTTTGTTTTTTTCATATGGTTTAAATGTATACATTTGTTTAAATTAGTAATTGTAAACTAGGTTTGTGGAATCTGCCATTCATTTGTAATAATGGTTAATGCACTAACAATATGAACTGCTCATGCCATGGGTTATTTTATAGTCTTTTAAGGAGTTTGTCTGTATGACATTTGAAAGTCTGGGTTGCAGATGTTATTTCTATTAAAAATCTAGTGACTTCAATAAATGGTTCATTTTTGTTTTTGTTTATTACTTAACATTGCTATGTTAAAACATCTAAATACACTATTCATTCATTACTCAGCGAAAAGCATTTAGAGCATTAGGTGTTAACATGCAACTTGAAGTTTGGTAGTCAGTCACACCAGTAAAACAAGCCAAAGCAAAAGTAGGCTAGTAGGCATGTGGAGATTACACACATGGACTGGGGTAGTCAACACCTTCAGGGATGGCAGAGCGGAGTCTGCCAAGGGAAAGACACAAGCTCACCAAAAGGGGAAACGTACCATGGAAGAATACACACATGGGTGTAAGGGCCACCTGCCGGACCAACAGCGAAATCCAGAGGCCTGCTTGAATGTGTTCTGCGTATAGGCCTTTGACCTGCGCTTCTGCAAAGTTCACTTAATTTATCAGGATTTTGTTTCAATTTTAGTCTAGCTCCATGTTTAATCTGACTCCAATTCCAAATGATCATTAAATTTGGACTATTTCTAATTAAAAACTGGTCACAGATATCGGTTATGTATTAATTTAGATACTTGATTGTTTTGAATATCCCATACTTTCAATTATTCATTCATCAGGGACCCGATGTTGCAAAAAGTATAGTTTACTTAGTCTTTTCCCATATGACTTGCTAAAATCAGTAATAGACAAAAATCAGAGGGTCTCCAATGACATGCCTACTGCTCCATATATTCATGAGTCTTCAGTTTGACCTATCCTGGCTGTAGATTTGAGGTAACATCAGCCTACACGTGATCTACTAGTCATAATGATTTCAGAAGAGTTCAGAATATAACATTTTATTTGTCAGGTAAAAAATATACCATACCAATTGCATAATTAAAGAGAATCCAATTCAGAATTAGGTTCAGTTTCAATTCAGATAAACACAACATCAGTTGCTCAAAGATGAATCTAAGAGTGAGATGCATACCTGACAGCAGAGAGACACACACAGCAGCATGTGAGAGTTCTAGTGCAGAGCTCCAGAGACTCAGACACACTGTGGGGGTTAAATGGTTACAGAATACTAAATTACTATAATGACACTTCGCTTATATGCCCAGACCAGAACAAAGCAATCTTCAATTCAGTTGTAAAAACATAAAAGACCTTTTGGTTTGTTAGGATCTCATGACCCAAGGGCACACCTTGCCAGAGATAGGAAACATTCTCACCGGACGCTGAGAAAAACACACCCCTCAGCAACAGAACAGAATTCTTCAAAAGTTTTCAATCTTTCTCATAATGTAAATGACTTGTGAAATTGAGAAAATTTTACCAATCGCATGGTGACCTTCACAATAGTACTAAACATGACAGGGAAAAACAATAGATTCACAAGATACATATGTGTTATATATTCTTAGTGAACTTTCAGTGAAGCCTGTTGGGGAGAGGGGGGGGGGGGCATAAATGAGCAGGGAGATAAGTTTGAACAAGGCGGTGTCATTTGCTCTCTTTTAAGATCTCTTCTCCAGATTAGTTTTATTGTTTTGTTGACTGTCATCTGTTTTGTGAGTTCCTGAAGTTTTGGCTTCAAACGGAGATCATTTAATTTCGGGTGGGGCAGTGAGGTGGAGTACAGGGACCCGACTTGGAAGGCATAGTGTCCCGAAGTGGGGTCTGGGTGTGCATTGCAACACCTACCTGGCTCCATGGTTGGACAGGAGGCGCAGGAGAAGGAATAGCATTATCGAACCAGGCCCTACTGCCCATTGGCGAAAGAGGGTGATGAGGAAGGCCAGGCATAGCATGACGCAACATCATCCATGCCCTCTTGGGACCCAGAGATAGTGGAAACTGCTCTTTTTTGAAACTTTAATGGGAAAAGTCATGTGCCCCAACACAAGTGGGATGACATAAAAATGGCACTGCACAAGTGCCTGGACAACTCCTCTCTTTTTTAAAAACACTGAAACAGACAATAATTGTTCTCAATTTCTTTTATTGTCCAAACAGACTGTGTGTGTCTTGTGAACCTTTTGTAAAAATTGTTCATGTTCTGACTTTCACCTGTTGCTGCAGATAGATGGCTGCTGGTGTAGCCTAGTCCTCACTGGTCGGCTCTGACCTGTGCTGCCAGGTTCAGTGCTGCTAATTTGCTGGCCAACTTGGACCTCCGTGAAGTTGGCACCCCATAAAAAGAAATAATCACCAAAACTATGCCATTCGTTTGTGCTACGTTTGTGCTGATTTGTGCCGCGAAAACATTTGAGCTGGTTTGGTGTTTGAGATATTAAACGTTATTTTTTTGACCATGTGACGTCACTCTCCACCCCATGTTGCCAAAATCGCTCCAAACCAGCGCAGTTCGTTTGTGCTCGATTTGTGCCCGTTTGTGCCGTTAAAACAAACACTGCATCTATTTTCCTTCCTTAGATATAACCAAAATATTTTCGGGAGCTGTGACGTCACTCTCCACCCCAGTTCGTCTAAATCGCACAAAACTGGTGTCATTCGTTTGTGCTCGATTTGTGCCGGTTTGTGCTGTTAAAATGAACATCAAATATATTTCCCCTTCATAGAAATAACAAAAACAATTCTGGGCAGTGACGTCACTCTCCACCCCATGCCTTTCAAATCTCTCCAAACCGGTGGCGTTCGTTTGTGCTCGATTTGTGCTGGTTTGTGC